GGATGTGAGTACAGTGCCTATCATCCAGAACCCTTAAAAAGCACCTAAACTACGCATGCAGAGCTACGCCCGCCCGTGAAGAGCAGTAGACAACTGAAAAGTAGCACCATTCAAAAACTCTCTGATGCGGGTCTTGAAACAACGCAGAGAATATATGACGTTAGTGGCTCAGCAGGTGCGAAAGCTCTCTCCAGAGCTACTGGAAGCCCAATCTCGGGACCGGAGAAAGTGGACAATATCTCGCGCCAAGCACGCCTTCGAACACCTCACCTATACCACTGACCGTAAGCCATCGCTACCTGATGCTGGACGTTTTTCAGTGGATCACAATAAACAGCACATACACCAATTAATGTAAATAAACAGCCAAATAAGTGGATCATCGCTCTCTGTCTAATATGTTCGCTGCTGTGAGTGTTGTTGCGTAGCAACCACCTTGCCTATGTTTGTGACGGAAGCGCACGGAGGGACTATTTATTTTGACATCATATATTTACTAATAAACTATTTTATAATTACAGGTGTATTTTCCTTTCATATGCCACAGTTGGACCGTTTATAAAACCACTAGCTCACTCAGGCCGTGATTATGCGCTTATATCACAGCTAAGGGGTGTCGACCCTCCGCTTCGCGTCGGGCCGAACCACGCCCCTTAGCTGTGATATAATGAGCATATACCACGGCCTGTCGTGAGCTATTGCTTAATTATATGATCCTTATGTGAACTCTTATCTGTACTGTCCTGTATTTCACTCTTACTCTGTTGCTGCTTTAACTACTGAATTTCCCTACGGGCATTAATAAAGGTCCCTCTTATCTTATCTTATCTTATCTTATCTTGTCTTGTGTATTCCAGATGAGCGTATAGTCCCAGCTGAGATGAACACACAGGAGTGGCTCCTGCCTGAAACCACAGCCAGCTTTGATGAGCTGCCGCTGCAGTATAACGGAGTCTGTGGCTACTCACTAGTGACCAGAGACGGGCTGCTACTCCCAGGTACTGTTCTCATCATACACCAGTGTGTAAGGAATATATGGATGTTGTCCAGTCTCTCCACGGCATTCATTGTGTTGCATTAGCTTTAACTCAAGATGTGATTTTAGATGCAAAAGAACAATTCAAACTGCCTACTTTCACACTTTCGCACATCTGGCCAATGTTTGCATGAAGTGGACCTGATTGTTAAAACGTCTGTTTTTCTCATGTTCCTAGTTTTTTTGGTTGTTATTTTTCTTTTTGTTTAACTTTGCCTGCCCGTGCAGTTTTTGTGTTTTTTAACAGCTTTTTATTTCAAAGATCCCATGTCATGCTTTTCCGGTGATTACCCGTCCCCTTGTGTGTTATGAAGGTTTTTATGCATGTAAACGGTCTGCAGAGTCAAAAACCCTCAAAGTACATCCTGTAGCCAGTAAAACTCTAACACAGGAAAGACCTGTCTACGCCTCGTTGGACATTTCTCTTTTTCTTCCTGGGTATGGTAACGTACTCATATCCGTGGAGCTCCTCACACACACACACTCTCTCTGCGGCGAAACTGTGATGTGCTGGGGGGGGTGCTAGTGGAGCCTCACAGCGGCAAAACTGTGGCGCGCTGGAGCCTCACAGCGGCGACACTGTGGCGCGTTTAATAAAGCTTGCCTTATGTTTATATTCATTTAGCTGCCTCCTCTGTTTTTATGCGCCAGTTAAGAATATCACCTGAAAGATCCTCTGAGATCGCCTGCTCCAAATCCTCTTCCCAAAGAGCCTTCACAGAGTTTAGAGAGGTTGAAGATAGGGTTTGGATTTGATTCTAAATATATGCAATCATGCTTTTCATAAGGAGAGTGAGTCCTTTCCTGAGTGAGAAAACATCAAGAGGCGTGTCGAACTGAAGCCTTATTTTTGAAGGGTTACTTTATGATAAGCACCGTTTATGTAACTGTCTGTTCTTGAAGCCTATGTCTCATCATTGACTCCTCTGTTGCAGGCTACCCACACATCGGAGTCTTTCATCACGAGGAGAAGCTCTATGTGTTCAGCTCAAAAGAAGCAGCATTAACATTTGCCTCCAGTCCGGGGGACTTCATTGCAGAGGTAGCAGAGAAAGCCAAGCTCTCCCCTGAACTCATCCAGCTCCTCCAACTCCACCGACAGTTCTCCTGCGTCAGTCCTTACTCAGAGGTCAGCAGCCTTCAAGCACTCTCAATGCACACATTCATTTATTCTTTTTATGTAAAAATGTGACATATTGCCAAGTATATTTGTCTCATTTCTTGTCAGAATATGTCTGCACCTGATATCAGACATAATAATGTAAGACGTAACATTGCAGTGAGATATAGGGTCTTGTTTTAGATGTCAAAAGGTTTTTAAGCTGCTGTGATATTTGTAAAAGATGGATCATCTTGTTTCAAAAATAATCTTACTTGATTTAAAAAAACACATTTTTATTGGAAATCCACCAACTAAGATCATATGACAGAACACTTTTGAGCATTTCTGGCTCAGAATAAATCTGATTTATATAAATATTAGGGCTGTCAAGTTAACGCATTAATGCCATTTTTTGTAACGCCACTGATTATTTTAACGTGCGATTAACGCATGTGTATTTGTCCTCGGCCCTTCCCGTAGTTTCAGAGCCCAAAGGCTTGACGTTGTTGTTGTTGTTGTTAGTTGGATGGTGGGAGATTCTAGTGAGAGATATGGATACAAAGAAAGGTGTTTTAAACAGCAAGCCAAGCACACTGATGCTGACTGCCCCGCTCCTGCCGCTCGCTTGCGGCAGACCACGCTTGAAAGTTTGCCGGGAGACGCCTGGACACGGCGTCTACGAGCAGCAAGCTTTCAACAGCGATAGCTAAATGGGTGGCGGTGGCTACAGCTTGCAGGACAATTAACATTGTGGAGGACGAGGGACTGTTTGAGATCATTCGGATCGCATCCAACGTGTCGACTGCACATCACAGCGCATTATTTTGACCCACAGTGGGAACTTCAGTCTCATGCTATGACTGAAGATGAAGACAGAGGAGCGGCATTTCGCCGACAACTGTAAACAGGCTTGTCTGTTTGAGCAACTGGCTCAGTGCAGAGAAGTAGACAGGGTTGGGAGAGAGTGTAAGAGAGAGAGAGGTTCCAGGTTGTTGTATTGAAAATATTCAGGAGAATATTTGTCATTGTTCCAATGATAATAAACAAACATTTGCATAAAGCATATTTGTCCACTCATATGTTGATAAGAGTATTAAAAACTTGAAAAATATTCCTCTAAGGTACATTTAGAACAGATACANGGAAATTGAGATAATTGAGAAAATCCAAGATGGAACGCTTAAAATCCAGATTTGTTAATATCTCCATGACTATAGAAGGGACAATAATGACCAATATGTCGTTTGACATATTGGTCATTATTGTCCCTTCTATAGTCATGGAGATATTAACAAATCTGGATTTTAAGCGTTCCATCTTGGATTTTCTCAATTATCTCAATTTCCCCAAAGGTGAGAACTCCACACCCAATTGGGTATCATTATATACATATAAGTGATTAATAATCAGCAATAAAAAAAACTTTAACAACCAAAACGAGGTTAGGGCCTTGGCTGCCAGACTATGTTTTTCTCAGACGCGGAGGGATACTGACTTGTTGTGAAAAGTAACTTACAATTCTACCCGTGGTATACGCTCAGTATATCACGGCTAAGAACCAATCAGATTGCTTGATTTGACTTAAATTAATAATTAAAAATAAAAATGATACAAGTAATTGTTAAAACAAGATATTACAACAACAAAGGAAAATAACAAGGAAAACAAATGCATTTAAGATCAGCACTAACTTAAATATGGTTCGGAGATTTTTATCTCTCAGGTTTGTAAGAATATTTCATATTATAATAAATGCATAATATTATCAGTACAGAACAACTGATAGTGGGGGCAGTGATATTCAAAGTAATACATAACTGAAGGAAGTTGTGTAAATCTAGTGATTTGGACACACTTTGAGCACATTATTTCCTGTTTGCATCACACTGCATCATAGACAAGATGTCCTGTTCTTTTTTAGGATGTACTATTACAATTCTCTGTCTGTGTTATGTTCCTTGTTCATCATCATGTATCATACATTCTCAATATACTTTTTTATGACAAATTAAGTGTTTACAGTGTGTTCAGATCTTCATCTTCAATTATCCTAATAACAAATTCATTCAGTTTTCTTCACACAAAGGAATGAGATATTGCAATTCTTCTTATCCAAAAGGCCTCACAACAACCTGTCAATGTTTTAGGGGCCTCTAGTGGGAGCAGGAACCATAGTTTGGGAACCAGAGCCTGAGAGGCAGGTATACTGTAACTGTTATTTACCTGCCGACTCAGCCATTCTCTGTTGGTCTGTCTTCACCTCTGCCGCCTCCAGCAGGCCGTCCACACATGCCTCAGAGAAGATCTTGGCCTGAGAGGCAGTGAAGGGCTGCAGGCTGAGCAGGATGCTCCTGAGGATGTTCAGCAGCTGAGCCTCATCCTGCAGCGCAGACCACAGCTCTGACAGGGACTTAAAGCGCGGCTGGAAGACATGAGCAAGGACAGAAATGGGTAAGACATAATATAACAAGACGTGACAGACAATTACATTAGATATACTTTATTGATCCAAAAGTGGGAAATGGTTTTGTTACAGCAGAATGTTAACACGGCGTGGGTTCAAAATATGATCAAATATCTACAGAATAAACATTGTGCTTTTGGGGGTTTCCCTCTCCTGTAGTGTGTTCTATTATTGCATGTAAATGGTCTGCAAAGCCCCCCCTCCTGCCTGAAACAGCTACATTTGACTCCTTTGGTTACTTCTGTAACAGAGTGACATCCCTATGCAACAGTAGCACTTCTATTCACAACAGAGCCGGCCAGCTAACCAATCAGAGCAGACTGGGCTCTGGTTTCAGACAGAGGGTGAAAAGAGGTGCTGCAGCACAGGCAGTATGAAAAAAATAAAGAGCTTTTTGAACATTAAAGCAAGGAGACAT